ACTGCACTATAAAATTTCATGTGCTTCTAACCCATGTCTAACCACACCATGTCCTAAAAGGAAACCTTTGCAATTTCTATATGAACAGTGGAAGCTTAATATCATGAAACCCTAGTCTGGTTCAGGCTTGAGGCCTACTTTGGTTCAGCCTGCCACCTCTATATGATCTCAGGCAAGGTTCATTTGGGTGGGAGCCTTTAAATTTTATAGTGCAGTCCTTGTGCTTGTTTTGAATACCTTGATATGGTCTCTCAAAACAATTTCAGCTAAAGCTGATCGAATGATTGCTGGGATATGGGTCGTTTCAAAATTGCACACTTCAGATGTATGCAATGAATATCTTTACATTCAGTTATTATATTCATTCTCATTGTTTCTGCCATTTTGCATTTGTTTTTCGAATACAAAGTAATGTTTAAACAATCCCCAATATATTCTAACTTCATGGGAATGTTGTAGAAAAAAAAACAGGTACTCAGGGAATAGGTGCAAGTGGAAAGATTCACACTTGATAAAACATATGCAATCTGCACACAAATAAAATTAAAGAGGCAAAACAAAAGTATATTAAACATAAAAGGGATTTGACGACTACGGCAGTAAAAGGATTGTATGTCTTATCCAGAAAGATATTCTCATTTTTAATGTGTCTTCTGGGTAAAATCCTTCATATATAAAAGATCTTTGGTGACAGTTCTAATTCCACAAGGATAAAGTCATCCATTAAACAGAATCTTGTTGAATCAATCAATTAACAATTCAGAGTGCAGCACATTAAAAATAAGTGAACATAAAATACCCTCCTGTATTTAAACAGTTGATGTGTGCAAATACAGAAATATCTGTTCCATAATTTAAAAGTTATTTAAGGGTAAAGAAGAACAAGGCTTACCAGCTGCAGCTCTCCTATTTTGTAAATTTAGCTCTATTAATCTCTACATAAAAGAGAGGAAAACCTTCTTTAGGCTGTAATTACTCAAAACCTCAGGAGAGAAATACAGTATTTTTTTCCTATATCCCAGATTCAAACTCTGATTTTAAAAAAAAAAGAGGAAAAAACTAAACCCTGAAAGCAATAAATAAATATAACAAGGAGCAGTAGTAGAAAAAATGAAAAATGAACTATCATTTCAAGCATTTCATTTAACGGATCATAGATTCGCTTCCAGTCTTATACTGGCATTTCTCATAAGGGTGGTATACCTTAAATTTTTCACTATAAACTAATTAGATCCCTTCCAGTTATGCGCTGAATCTGGAAATCCATATGAGAACGCCAAAGGTAAATTAAAAGCTTCAGTTATAAAGCTGAAGAGGAGAATGCCACCAAGAGGGGGGGGAACCTTGAGATGGCTTGATGACAAAACCATAATTTGCATCTGAATACTCAAGTATTTTTTACGGGTGACTTGTTCTTATTTCATTATCATTTAAAACTAATTACACCTTTTATGTCCTTTTGAACAATCACCAAGCCCTTTGGCATTGTACACTATGATACAGAATAAAATTATATTATGGCCTTAGAGTTGACTAGAAAGACCACATTAGCATTATATTTATAATTTCAGCAAGCTTTCAATCCTAATTGAATATTACTGGCATCTGTCCTGGGCAAGCTGGTCTATTCTAATTGATTTAGCTTTTTATATATGTTTTACCCTGTTGTGACTTGTCTAAAGTCTTTTGATTGGGTTGAGCCATAAAAATTGTTTCAGAAATAAACAATGTTATAAGAAAGTTAATAAATAATAAGCCATGTCTTGCCTACTTTTTTTAAAAAAAGGATTCTGTAACTCCCTTCTTGATAAAGATATGGCCATGGAATTTCTCTGACATATTTTTCAGAGAACATCTATTGTGGCAGCTAACTTCAAGGCCCAGGAGATGCAACAAAATTAATTTAGCTAATATATTTCCACCCTGCCCTATCAATTGTTGAATGTCCCCAGTGGAGACTCTTCAGAATCCATTCTAGTACTGAAATCCTCAGCCGTATGGATATTCATTTTCATAACATATAAACCACATGTATACTATTACATAGTGAACATCATATTGTATGTTTACATTAATTCATCCTACCATCAACTCCCAAAACGATTATTGGCTCTTCTGCTCTCCATACACCATATTTGTACCTTATCCATCACTTTCTTCTCCCTNGTGTGTGTGTGTGTGTGTGTGTACCCATCCATGTCCCTTTCCCTTTAATCTTCTTAATATTATCCAATCAGTATTTCTTTTGTATAAATATAAAATCCAATCAGTATTTTTTTAAAGAACTGCATTGTTTTATCTTAGAAAATAATATATAAAACAGTAAAACAAACAAACAAACAAAATGAAGCAAAACAAAAACATACCTTCAACCCTAACAACTATAACAACAACAACAACAAAAATAGTGTACAAAAAAGTGGGGGCGTGGCCAATTACACTTAACACGTAGCATGTAGGATCCACCCTGGCTGGGTACTGAAAGAAAGGAAAAAAAACAAAAAATAAATTCTCCTCCCCTTTTACATATATATGGCAAATATAATCAAAGCAGTTAATTTCTCCATCTCTGGTAATTCAGTCAATTTCAAAATCCATTCTTGGATCTCTTTTTCTTTCCAATGCTTGGCAAGAACATGCAGACGTCACCATGTGAAGGGATAGTACTCCAAATTGTTTTTCAATTGACTTGTTCATCATACCTAAAAGAAAAGCTCCAGATTTCGTTAGTATTTGTCTCTTAAATATTTGTGCCTTATCATTCTTACGTTTATCCAGTATGTTTGGATTGGATACAAGTTGCATTAATTATTATTTTTCCCCCAGACTCACAAAGGTGTTTGAAAAAATGTAGGTTGCTTTAATGAAATGGAGACAGGTGTTATGCTTCCAAGACACCATCCAGGGTCACTCTGGATAGTGTGACAGATGGAATATAAATGGAATATAAATGGAATAAGTAAATACATTTTTTCATTCATTTTTAAGCATCCATCACAGGATGCACTTTATGGTTCCCAGACAGGAGGAAGAAATCCAGAGTGCCCACTTCTATAGGACGCTGCATTGAGAAAGAATTTGCACGTGTACACTATATAAATAAATAATTGTTGGAGTATTTATAAAATCATTTTCAAATCAAGCCAGGCTTGTGCTGATCTATATAGATACTACCATGCAGTTTTCTTAGTGTCACGCCAAAAAAAGTATTTGCTGTCTTTTCTAGCATCGACATTTGATGCTTTGATATTTGATTTTTGCCTACACATCTGGATTTTCTTGGGGACCCTCAACCAATCTTCTGACTCTGTTTTGCTTTTTGGATTGGCAAAATGCTATCAGTTACTTGGGAGATGGTTCTCTGGTCTTGTTCTTCAGTGCCCTCTCTTTTTGCTATTAACCCAGAAGCAATTTTCTCATATCAGAAAAAAAAAATCCACATTGGCTTGCCTGTTCTTTACATTGTTTGATCTCTCAAGAATAGCCAAATGGGGAGGAGACGGAGCGAGAGAAAGAACCATGATAAGCAGAAATTCCCTCCTTTCTCCTCCTGTGGCTGGTTGGAATTGCCCTTCTTCCATTGTTTCCAACGGGAGAATAATGATTTCCCCTTTTTATTCCAAATAGCAGGCACAAGCGTGAATGGATTCCATTAAAGACCACAGAAAGCCCCTTGCCTCGTACAGGTTACATCTCCTTTTCAGCTTGATAACTGCTATTTGTAAAATAAATGTCAATGAACTGATAAACGAATGACACAATGCCATCGTGTGCAGTTTGATTCCCTTGAGCCATTTGCAAAACATCGGAACAACTCCGTCTATCGGAACGGGATGGGCTTGCTTATATTTACAGCTAATTTTCATGAAATTAGTCGAGCCAATGCTTCAAGGCCAGACCTTCAAAAATTTGTGGCATCTGAAATCTATTCTCAAACCCAAATTCTGTTAACTCTTGGCAGCAGTTGGAATGGCATCCTTTGATGCACCGCTTTATAACTCTGTATTTCATTGTCACAGGTACATTTGTCATGCAAGTGACTGCCACAGATGCCGACGACCCCACCTATGGGAACAGTGCTCGAGTTGTCTACAGTATTCTCCAGGGACAGCCATATTTTTCTGTTGAGTCTGAGTCAGGTCAGAGGACTTTAATCTGTCTTTCTCCGATAACCTCCGTGATTTAAAACGACTTGTTAAGTCAAGCTAGGGTGTCATTAGGCAAACTCTTCAAAGAAATCTCTTTGACTCGATGCAGGCTTTGCGAGTTCCAACAGAGCGATACGTCTATAAGCACGACGCATTTTTTTTTAAAATCAGAATATCTTAACCTAATAAGCAGAACTTAGCCTGGATGCAAATCCATTTAGCAAACATTGGGTATGTAGATGCTTCCATTAAAGCTGTCATTTGACTTCGAATGTGGGAGGAAAAGAAAAGAAAAGGAATTATAGGCAGGAAAAAGATCTTGCTAATAGATTTNTTTTCTGAAAATAAGAGTTTTATATATTTGTTATCATGTGCAGGCGGTAGTTGTCTAATTACACCGAGTCACACACTTATTTCCACTTCCAGACGCAGTAGGACCTTGAAGAGGCAGCTCTGTTGTTACTTTGTTCATTCAAACAATTTTTCCATCTTTATTTACACTCACTGAATACTCTGAGCTGGTCGTTTTCCCGCAGATGTTTCGTTACCAAAATTAGGTAACATGATTAGTGCACTGTTGATGTTACCTAGTTTGGGTAACGAAACATCTGGGAGAAAACAAGCAAGCTCAGAGAGCACCCGTGGCCCCTCATTTGAACCCTAAACCACAATTATTCTCTTTTATCAGTATCACTGAACAGATAAAGTTCACTCGTGAGAAACATAAAGACTTTTAAAGACGTTAACAAAAATTTGCCTGTAGCACATCGGTTTACCAAAATCTGCTGAGACTTTCATGTTGATCTCCTTGGTTCCTGTTTTTCTACTTTGATTCTCTTCTCTTCACTTCAAGTATAAAACTCGAAATAGTGCTTTTCACTGATGGTCCTATAACGACTGAGCATACGGTTCATCCAGAAACCTAGTAGATGCCATTAAGGCTGATGCACAATAATCTTGTGGACAGCAAAAGCCATTAAGGCAAATTCCTTCAGCTCCTTCTAGAAACATTAACTCACCATCAGCACTTGTTAGTAAGCAATCACACGATGGTGATCATTTTGCTTGCTGATAGCATTTCTGCTGCACCAATTTACTGAATATTACACTTGATTGCTTTTGACTGCAGAGTGTGCTATTTGGGGGCATGGGCTTTTAAGGAAAAGAAAGGGCAATTCCAAACCAACGCTGTGTTTTCTCTCATTTGTGAGGGAAATATCCCGTTATGGCAAGGAAGCTGATAAGAGTTTTGCAAGCCTATTTGGGAATTCTCCTTTCAGAAAAGTTGGGAAAGTGCGAATTTGAACTCCTGCCAGCATACACTCTTGACCTACTGTAAATTAAGCGTGTCAACATATTCGGTTGACTTAAACAAAGCTGATGCCATTAACACCTTGCTAAAAGTCAAATGGTGTTTGTGCTTGTGATAAGAAGCTGAATATCTCACCATTTTGCATCACATCCCAGCAGATTCTGGATGCTGAAAATCTTTGCCACAGATTATAGTTGTCATGAGTAATGGACCATTTTTTTTTCTTTCAAAATCTTAATACAAGAAGGATAGTTTCTCTATTTCAAGTGGAGATGTTTTAACAATTAAATATTTTTGCTTATGGAGAGTGGGAGAAGTCAGAGATGAAGAACACCTTTATCTTAAATCAGAGTTTTCAGAGGGTGGGGAATTACAGGTGTACTGTAGGGGTTTGCATATACTTGCACAATTCATGAAATACTGAATAGAAATGGAAATAATCAGCAGTGCAGCTTGGCCCATCAGGTGTTCAATTACACCTTTATACTGCTTGCTAGTGATTACAAAAGCAAGATATTTAAGTCTGATTAGCCTTAGGCATCTCTTTATTTCCAAATTGAGCCTGCATATCCATCAATTTATACTGACAAAGAGATGGTTGGTAGGGAATGGTCATTAAAGTCCTCTTTGACTATAGTCAAAACAAACATTTATGTTTTCCGTTGTATTCAAGGGATGTTCATTCTGAATTGGACTGTAAAGCTTGAGTTTAAATTATTCAGCCTAAACTCATTCATTGCAACTCGATGTTTCTCTAATTGACAGGTCTTTCTGAATGCTTTCTCAAAATTCCTCTTAATATATACATATATATATATTTCTCTTTTTAGGCTTTGGATTTTGAAAAGCGGAGACAGTTTACTCTGAAAGTGGAAGCCAGCAATCCTCACGTGGATCCCAGATTCCTCTATCTGGGACCCTTCAAGGACATTACTACTGTCAGAATTCAAGTAGAGGACGTAGATGAACCTCCAATCTTCAGCAGACCAGCTTATATATTAGAAGTAAAGGAAGATGTCCTGATAAATACCGTCATTGGAGCCGTAACAGCCCGGGATCCTGACAGTGCAAAGAACCCCATCAAGTAAGCATACAGACCAGAGGTCTCCAACTGGCAAGGNCAGTCAGCTGAAGTGGCCTGCAGTACTGCACCCTAACCACTGCGCCACCTCGGCTCTTATAGGTTCGCAAATGTGAGCTGGTAGAGGCACCGCTCACGCATTACGTTGGGGCGGGTGGGCGGAGCCTCCCAGAGCCGCCGCTACCAGTTTGCAAAATGGCCTCTCCCAATATCCCATATTTTATATCATAACTCAGCCTGGAGTTCATCAGTTCTAAGGATAAACATCTTTTTTTTTAAATCCCATGTTTCATATTTCAACATCAATGGCTACCCATCTGTGTTGTATCTCAGGCATTTACTTTGGTCTTATTATAATCACCTTGGGTTCACTTTTCCTTCTTACATGTAGAATGTATTTTTATTGCTATTTTCTTGAGAGGTTTTTCATTTTGTAGACTAAAATAGGAGAAAACAAGGGCTAAACTCTTGGTTTAATCTGCCATCCTTAAAGTTGTACACCAGGAAAAAAGAAGCAGGTAACTTCTGTAATTTCTTGTTGCCACTCTATATGAGGTATGAAATAATATTCTTATTTTTGCCTCTATAGCATAACTACTTCATAAGGCTATTTACATTCATATATAAAATGATTAAAAATATCTGTCTACTACTAGCATTCAAGATTATGTATTTGCTCTAGGAATAAATGCATTGAAGTAAGCACACAACATTTAAAATCAGAGATAAATTGGCATATTTAGCATATCTTCATGTTTAGCATGCTAGATTTTAAGGGAATTTCCCCCCCCTAATACATATAGTGGCGTCTTAGGAGGGAACAATTATTGGGGTTATAGCAAGTAAAAAGAGACAATTGAAATGTTTCTTTCATGAAGAAAGTCTGAAGAAAACATCGAATCTGAAATTGGTATTTACACTGGAAAGAAACCATCCCAATTTGGAATTCCAAACAAAATGCCAATAATTGGGAACTTCACTTTTATGCCAGTGTTAATGCCACCTCTGAAAGAGGGCTTTCCTAACAAACACATTTCCAGTTTAATTTGCTTTTTGAGTCAATTTGGGGTTATGGCATCAAGCTAGAAATCAGGACATCATGAATTCTAGTCCCACTTTAGGCACTTAGCCAGTTAGGTGACCTTGGGTGAGGTCCTGTCTCTTTCTCAACCCTAGAAAACAGGCCAGAGCAAAATACTTCTGCATTTCGCCAAGAAAACTGCAAAAACCTGTCCAGGCAGCTGCCAGGAGTCAATACTGACTCAAAAGTACTGACACACACAAATTGTTATTTAATGTCTGCTTTGGTCCCAGCCATTATTATATTCATGAATATATTATCCTGATGATTGATTGATTATGAGCCATCAAGTTGATGTCGACTCTTAGCGACCGCATAGATTGATTTTCTCCAGAAATATATGATTATAGTCACAATCATTTTTATACCTATTGATGTTATTGGCACTTTGACAAGCCTATATATGAAATGAAGAGCCATATTATGTGGTCCACATAATTGGATACTGAAAGAAATTAAGTTTCTCGGCATCCCAAGTACAGAGTTTCCCATTTGAATGGCTGCTATGTAGTAAAATTAAACTTTAGCAAGCGCTATCACCATCCAAACTTTTTACAGTGTCTAAACTTTTTTACAATAATCCCTCTCCTTTTTAAAATAGTCATTATTATTGTTATACAATTGTATCACAGCGGCCAGTTGTTTCGCCGGATTTGGCTACTAGTCGGGCCCTATTATTATTATTATTATTATTATTATTATTATTATTATTATTATTATTATTATTATTATTATTATTATTATTATTATTATTATTATNCTGCATTTAACCACTGCGCCACCTCGGCTCTTACAAGTTCAGAGCCCATGCAGAGGCTCAGGGAGGGGGAAAATAGGCTTACCCGAGGTTCTGGAAGTCCGGAAACTTCCAGAACCTCGGGCCTGTTTCCAGTCTCCGGAGAACCTCCAGAGCCCAGGGAAGCAGTTTTCACCCTCCCAGAGGCTCAAGGAAAGCCTCTGGAGCCTGGGGAGGGTGAAAAATGTCATGGTGCAGGAGGCCAACTAGGCCATGCCCACCCAGCAATGGGGCAGTAAACCCATTGCTAAAATTTTTGAAGCCCACTCCTGAATACACGTAATTCAATAATGATTGATAGAACGAAAGTATGATTCAGGCTTCAACTTTGGTCTACTTTTTTACCTGCTTGCTAGCTAGAGCCGAGATGCTGCTTGATTCAGTTAAGACGAAAAACTTACTTTAAAAGGAGGGAGAAAATATTTTAAGAACATTTACTTCATAAAGTATAAGTGAACCAAAACAATGACAATGATACTTAAGAAGTAGCCACAACTCCTGAAACATAGCAGGAGAGTCACTTTCATTATTAGTTTATTCACCATGACTGAGTTTAAAAAAAAATGAATAGGGTGAGAATTAATCTCAATACAGGAAAAAATGTTGCTCCACATATTTTTGGCCAAAATCAAAGCCAACATTTAACTAGTCACCGCTCCGAATGAGATGTGAACTTCATCATAGTCATTTACAATGGAATCAATGACTGAAAGGAAATCTCAATCAGAATAAAAAATGTGAAGATAAGAACCAGCTCAAGTGAAATTTAGCCCTTCAGATGTGATCAAAAATGTCTCTCCAGCATCGAGGGGGAAAAATGTAATTGAAACACTGAAACAAGGATAAGAAGATGATAATCAGCAAATAAATTAATGGCTGTTCCTGAAATTTACTGACCAGATGCTGCCTCAACATTCCCCGGTCGTTTGTCTTGTCTGCGCAGGCCAAGTACAGCAAAGCTTTGAGCCATTGCAGATTATTTCTTCCAATTTAACCATTTCCCAGGATTTAAAAAGAATAGAATTCTACCGTCTATCAGACACACATAGCAATTTATAAAATGTGCAAGCAAGTTTGATATTGTCAGCTTAATTCTTAATAGGCTACGATCTTTTCAGTCACAGTCACCAACAGCTCAACCAAATTAGCAGTCTTTGACCAAAAGAGATCTAGGATTCTTTGAAGAGGATGAAATTAGTGGCAGGATAGCGGATTAAATGTATCCTCTAGATCAGGGGTCCCCAACCGCCAGTCCGTGAACCAGCACTGGGCCATGACATGAGGGAAACCATCTGCAGGATGCAGGCAGCACATGAAACCACAGCTTTCTGGCCCATGGGAAAACCTCTCTCCATGGAACCAGTCCCTGGTGTCCAAAAGGTTTGGGATCGCTGCACCAGATCAGGATCTACAATATGATCGGAATATATATTTAATTATTGAAAATCTGCTTTTTCTTCTTTTTCCATCTCTTAATGTAAAAAAACAACAACACACAAAATCAATATTTTCTCAAACCCACCCATATAGGTTTTTTTCTATAGTAATTCTAAATCTTTAAATTCTGTGCCTCGTGATGGTTTGTTTTAATCATCATTAATGTAAAAGAAGGGGAGTATAGGAGAAAAATAAGACCGCACCTTTCTTAGAGGCGAGGTGGCGCAGTGGTTAAATGCAGCACAACAGAAGGAGCTCTTTGATAGGGCTGCCATAGTATAAGATCAACTGAGTGAAACAAGGTTTGGAGTAGTAGTGACTCAGCTGCAGAACGCTTTATAAAGCCACCATCATCAATCTAGTGACCTCTGAGCAGCTAGCAATGCGTAAAATATTAAAAAGGGGAGAAATGAAAGAAATACAATAGACTCCAGCGCAGTTAAGGGCTGCAGGCAAAATTCTCCCATAACAAATTGTAAAAATTTGCATCTTGGTTTCCATGACCATCCTAACCCCAGAACCCAAGGGAAAAACTAGGACTTCCTTCCAAAAAGCTATCAGGGTAAAAGCTCTCTGAATCTCAGGGGAAAGACTGTTGCAGCTGAGAAGGGAAATGAAGCAGAGCAAGCACTGCGTACGCTGACAGCCATAAAATGCAGGTATCCCTCGACTTACAACCACAATTGAGGCCAAAATGTCCGCCCTTAAGTGAGATATTTGCTAAGTGAGTTTTGCCCCCTTTCCTTGGCCACAGCTGTGAAGTGAATCGCTGCACTTGTTGAGATAGGAACAAGAGGGTTGACTGAATCTGGCTTCCCCATTGACTTTGCTTGTCAGAATGGTCGCAAAAGCGGATCATGTGACCCCGGAGACACTGCAGCTGTCATAAATATGAGTTAGTTGCCAAGCATCTGAATGTTGATGGCGTGATCATGGAGATGGGGCAAGGGTTGCAAGTGTGAAAAATGGTTCTAAGTCATTTTTTTTCAGTGCTGTTATAACTTTGAATGGTCACTGAATGAATTGTTGTAAGTCGAGGAGTACCTGTACTGCTTTTGATCTAGCGCAAGATGGAGAAAAGTCTTCATGGTGGGTTTGAGGGCTGGTTAAGAATGATATTGGCTATTCCTGTCCTTGAGACCTAGCTAGTGCACCACAGCATGAATGAATGAATGAATGAATGAATGAATGAATGAATGAATGAATGAATGAATGAATGAATGAATGAATGAATATATGAGTAAGCCTTGAAGCTCCTTTCCCTTGATCTTAAAAATAATCATCTCATGATATTTATCACTTTAAGCTTTCTGAAAGCTTCACTGTTTCCCTTAAAGAATGGAACCAGCCTCTTGTGATTGCCGAAATACTTTAAAATTCTTATTAAAATGAGCTCTATTTAGCAGTATTACATTTGAAAGTGTTTTGGTCTGATTCATGGAGAGAGGGGTAACTTTATTTTCCTCTTTATGGATTATTGTGAGTTGCCTAGAAGTCAGAATGAATGAATGAATGAATGAATGAATGAATGAATGAATAAAGGAAAGAAGGAAGGAAGGAAGGAAGGAAGGAAGGAAGGAAGGAAGGAAGGAAGGAAGGAAGGAAGGAATGGTGTTAGTGAGCTTAATGATAGTTTATAAATTTGTAGTGCCTGCAATCCAACAACTCCTTCCTGAATAGCCATCACCTGCCACATAATCATTATGAATTTCTGGAATCTCATATGGAATAAGGGCTCCTGAAACATGACCCAGCCTCACATGTTCCCATTGCTGCAATGTCTGGCACATTTGTATTACAGATTCACCCCCTGTTATGTCCACCCTCCTTCTGCAATTAATTTCCTAATGAAATGCAAAATAGTTGGATTGCTACTTTTAATTTATTGTAATAGGTATTGCTGTAGATTTGTAATCACTGTACGATCTTGTAATTCCTATCAATTGGAGAATTTTCAAAGGAACAACGTCGTGACCTTTCCTTTCAATTTATCTTGGACTTGGGGGCTGAGAAAATACTTTACAAGCCAGGAATTAGTGCTTATCCATCATTTCTGCTTTTGGGGGGGGGGTAACATGTTAGGCAACTAATTTTTGATGGGGGAGGTTACATTTCAATCCAACCATAAATGTACGGGCAAACATAGATTGATTTATTTTCTTAGAAAAAGGATCCCTCCCCATTTCTGAAGCTGTAGTGTCATGCATAGGCTTCAGCCCTAAACACATTATGGATCTCTGTGTTATACTTGATCATGCGATAAGTATGAGAAGCATGACTTTGTATTCAGTGACATGAGCTGCAATTGTATGTGCTTAAAAATAAAGTCTATTACAATTGAATGCAGCTCTAGTAACATAAGTCTGTACTTTTTAGCTTATTGACCACTAGAGACAAAATAGTGTATAAACAGACTAAATAGTTATGTTCTAATACATTTTCCAAAAGCCAAACAGAACAGGAATTAGAATGAGACTTTGGTACAGGATTAAGCTGAAAAATAGATCAAGTTTATTGGTTTTTCCCTACCAAGGTTTAGAAAGCAATGGGAATTGAAAAGAACTATGAAATGGAAATGGTCCTCATTTCTTATCTGTCTTTCTGCTTGTAGATATTCTGTGGATCGGCACACTGATATGGACAGAATATTCAACATCGATTCGGGAAATGGATCGATATTTACTTCCAAACCTCTTGACCGAGAAATGTTATTGTGGCATAACATTACAGTAATAGCTGCTGAAATCAGTAAGTTGTGTATAAACACACAAACACACACACCATTGCTCTAACAAGCATGGCTAAAGGAAAGTCAGGTCTTTATGCTTTGGTTGCTTGGTATTATTTAAAGACATAAACCTAAAAAAGTTTATTTTTTCTCATCTTTCCCTTAGCAATAGTTTATGAAGAGGCAACTGAATGCTTGAACAGAAAGAAAACGGAGAGGTTCCTCCTCATTTCATATCACAAGCCAGAAGAATTCTTCTGGTTATTGACTATCCGTTAGCAGTTGCCGATTTGCAAAGAAGCTATATAGATTAAAAAGATGCAGATATATAATGTCAGGGAGGAGAATGAAAATCCGGTGTGTTTTTCATTCCTGGGAATTTCAGTCCTACAGCGTTGACCAAAATGAAAGAATAAAATTTAAAAGCCCCTTACTTCTGCCAAAAGCCTGCTAATTTAATTAGGATCAGGATTAATTAGGAGAAATAAAAACCAGCTCATCACTCTTAAATCCATGTATGCAAAAGTTTTTATTGATGGGACTAACTTTCAAGAAGATGTGCTTCAAGAGGCAGCCTCAAGGCAACTAGATTGCAGTGAAAGCAAAATGCATGTTTTGCCGCCTTTGAAAAGCCTGTAAGCCCCATGTCCAATTTTGTCCAAGTGAAGGTGATGGAGGAAGGATATGATAAGGGCAATTTGATCAATCAATCAATCAATCAATCAATCAGAATAGAGATGGAAGGGACCTTGGAGGTGTTCTAGTCCAACCCCCTGCTCAAGCAGGAGAGCCTACACCAGTGCTTCTCAACCTTGGCAACTTGAAGATGTCCGGACTTCAACTCCCAGAATTCCCCAGCCAGCATTCGCTGGCTGGGGAATTCTGAGAGTTGAAGTCCGGACATCTTCAAGTTGCCAAGGTTGAGAAACACTGTTCTAAAGGATGATGAGATGACAGTAAACAGAGACATCTTCATCTCTTGATTTGCTACCATTGCCCTTCCCCCAGATTTTATAGCTCAGATACGGTATGACTATTAAAGGTAACTACACATAAAAGCTACTCATCACTTACAAATAATAATAATCATGAATAGCAATAGTAATAAGACCCACTGTAATAATAAATATGGGTAGCAAGTTGTAAATTCTAGTATATTCCTTTTTTCCACAAAATCCCTTTTGCCTTCCCAGCTGCCTGCTCTTACTATGTGTTTCTCTGTGAGGAGCACTTCATGATAAAGTACTTAAATTAAGCCATTATGATAAGTTCTGTGCAATAAGTATTTCTACATTTTAGGTGAGATTACTAGGAATTGCAATAGAAAATGTCTACAGATTACCAGGATATCGTATTCAAAGTTATCTATTAAAAATCGGAATTGGGGCAAGAGCTATGATGGCACAGTGGTTAGAATGCGTATTGCAGGCTAACTCTGCCCGCAGCCAAGAGTTCGAACCTGACCAGTTCAAGGTTGACTCAGCCTTCCATCCTTCTGAGGTGGGTAAAATGAGGACCCAAAATGTTGGGGGGGCAATATGCTGACTCTGTAAACCGCTTAGAGGTGGCTGAAAAGCACTATGAAGCAGCATATAAGTCTAAGTGCTTTTGCGATTGTTACTGCTAAGGTGAATGAGAAAATGGAGCGAAAGTTAGGAAATTTGCCTTTAACAGGCACTGTGGCTTCTAGGAAAACTTAAAACAGGACTTCTGTTGAGATACAGATAGGTTAGAAGGCCGAGACTAAAAATAAAGAAAACTAAATAGGGAAATGAAAAGCTAAAATTTCATTATAGTAAAGTGGACCAAAGCATTTTGGATTGCCTATGATGAAGAGAAAAGATTAACCTGCCACTATGAAGTGGATATTATATCAATGCTTCCCTTGAAGTTCATCTTTGGAAAAAGAGTTGCAAGCAACAGCAGCTCAGATCCCTGTTTATGTTAGCACAGATAAGAAGCATAAAAGCAGGTAAAGTTTGTCTTTCAATTTTACTCAGATCAAAATGAAAATTCTAATAGTAAATCCTCCCCCACTTTGCCCCCTTTCCTTAAACCCTTGGGGATCACCTTCCCACTTTATCCGCTTATGTTAATCAACCACATACGTGCAAATAGTAGCATCTTAAGAATTACAAGAAGGGCTGTTCTTTAACATTGCAATTTTTTCTTCCTCCTTTTTTTCCTTTGTAGTAGTAGCAATAGAAGTCATACAGATGAGGGGAAGATAGTGTGGAAAGGAATCCTGTGGATCCTTGTGGCGATCTCTTTGGTGACATTATATCAGAGGATTATACAGATGGGAAGGGGAATCATGAGATGGAATTTGAACAGTCATATTATTATAAAGAAGGAGGCAGCTATCTCAAGGAGCAGATGCCAGAAAGGTGGAGAGATAGGCCTTAACCACTCTCATTCTCCGAAGGACAGGATTGTATGCCATGTCACACTTAGTGCAGTAAATAACACACTATCCATTCATCTGCTAGTCTATTCTGCTTCTGTTATTCCTCAGACAATAAATTGCCGGTCCTGGGTATTTCTGCTACTCTCAGTAAAAGAATGTTATCACTCATTGCTTGAACTCACTTCACGAATGTGAAAAGCAGAAAAGAGAAAGAAAAAAAACCGTCACAAACAAGCAAACCTCTTTGTCCTCCTGTTTAAAAAACCCCTTCCCGTTGTGTTATTACAGACAACCCCAAAGAAAGCAGCCAAGTCCCAGTATTTATTAAAGTCCTGGATGTGAACGACAACGCCCCAGAGTTTGTCATGTTTTATGAGACCTTCGTCTGCGAGAATGCAAAAGCTGAGCAGGTTAGCAGTTTGCGTTTTGAACATATAAATAAATAAATATCTGGTGTTCTGTGCCTTTTTGTGTTGCAAGGAATTGTCAGCGATGGTAAACGAAATCGACTTATCAGTTCTTGGCCCAAACTCTAACTGGCATTTTGTATGGTTTTGATGTGTCTTTCTGCACTTCGTTTCCCTATCTGCAATTCTGCCCTTCTCCTGTTCCTTTTGACAGAAAATCCTCTTCCTTTGGATAAACAGTGAGTATATAGAGAGCAGTGTTTCTCAACCTTGGCTACTTGAAGATGTCTTGACTTCAACTCCCAGAATTCCCCAGCCCGCCTTCGCTGGCTGGGGAAATTTTGGGGGTGAAGGCAAGAAATCTTCAAGTAGGCCAGGGTGAG